TCTCTCTCTCTCTCTCTCTCTCTCTCTCTCTCTCTCTCTCTCTCTCTCTCTCTCTCTCTCTCTCTCTCTCTACCATTTCTAGCATTCCAGGACTATTATCTCTCTCTCTCTATCCAGATTGGTCGGTTGCTCGCTTTCCCGTCTATGAACGCCGTCACTTCACATGTCATAGCAGGTTTTTTTTTTTTTTTTTTTCAACGACTCCGCAATATCTGCGTTCATCGTGAACGTCAATTGTTTTATCTTTCGATAGGCAATATCAGTGTTTGGTCAATTGTCACTTCGTCACATTGTCACCCTCATTGTTTGATTGTTTGATTGATTGATCAATTGACTGATTGATTGAATGCTTGCTTCGTGAGGGTGTCACTGTCTTACTGATTGGTTGATTGATTGATTGGTTGATTGATTGATTGGTTGATTGATTGATTGTTTGGTTGATGCATTGATTGGTTTACCCATTTTCGGCTCACCGAACAATTAATTGAAGGATCTTTTGGTAGACCGAGTGGGGGGACTTTTGATATCTCCCCACCCGTTACTGCATCGGCTTCTCATATGCATACATATATCAAAGTGGACTATCACCATCACGCATATATGAAAGTCCGACGAAACAGTTTGTCGCACTTGATAATCTGTTGTCCTGTTCTCCCTCTCTGTGTACGGTTTACCGGGCAGTTTTGATAGTGACTATATATATATATACATGTGTGTGTGTACATGTCGCACTGTGAATCGGAGCGCAAAGGCGGGCAAAAGCAACCCAATGAAGGGACAGACAAAGAAACGATGGAGGAAAGCCCCACCTCTGCATCACCTCCTGTGTACAAGGGCAGCGATGTGGATGACAGGTCGAACGCTGAGTGCCCCCATCCCTGTTTGTCACAATGACACACGTGCACAAGCGAAAACGCAAAGACAAGGAGGAGGAAACCGGACCTTGCACGGCCACAAAGCAAAAACAATACACTGAGACCAAGGACAAGGGAAAAGGAAGGACTGTGCATAAGCCAACCATTGGCAAACCAATCAACACATCCCTCAGATTAACCAATTGCCCCTGTCAACACGAAGTTCAACACATTGCATATCGTGTCCTTGTTTTGTCCTCTCTTTTAATTCAAAAACCATACATGAGAACAATTATATATTCTTTATATATATATATATATATATATCGTCTTCTCCCTCTCTGCGTACGTTTTACCGGGCGGTTCTGTTTGAGACGACACACCACACAACAACGGCAATGGCAACATCAATGCAGACCAATCATTGATCGCACATGACATGTCCCGCGTGCAAAAGGCACATGAAAAACGGACCTTGTTCGTCCTCGACGACTGTCTCTCCCCTTTCGTGATCTTGTGATCATGTGAATGTGCCACCATTGTAAACATAGCGAAGAGAAGACGAAGAGAACTAGAAAAAAAAAAAACGAAATATAAAAAACAACAAAAAATAAAGACATCCAAAAGTTGTAATACAACTGTCTCCGATGCACGATGATGCCGAGAAGTACAAACTTAGGGACACAAACCAACCTCGCCCATGACACTCCATACCCAGTATAGTCCGCACCCAACGCAACGTGTTTTCACTCACACACACACACACACACACACACACATACAGAGGGAGAGAGAGAGAGAGAGAGAGAAAGAGAGAGATAGATAGATAGATAGATAGATAGATAGATAGATAGATAGATAGAGATAGATAGATAGATAGATAGATAGATAGATAGATAGATAGATAGATAGATAGATAGATAGATAGATAAATAGAGAGAGAGAGACGCGCAGTGAACGACAGAGTACACCCCGTTTCATTGCGGTAATTAGAAAAGTTTTCGAAACTCTCAAACGATGACAAGACAATTCAAAACTATTCGTTCAATGACGCAACTTTAATGTTGCGTTCAACCCTCGTGAGGACCAAAAAAAAAAGGAATAGGGCCTCATGTGACCATCGCTGCAGCTGAAGCGTTGTCCGGTCATCGTCGCCCTCATGCAAACATGTCCGACATCGCTCTCTCTCTCTCTCTCTCTCTCTCTCTCTCTCTCTCTCTCTCTCTCTCTCTCTCTCTCTGTGGAAGGCGGTCTACCACCAGTTACGCGCAGCCCGGAGATCATCGTCCGAGCACCATGTCTGGACCGCCCCATGCAAGTACCCTCTCTCCCGAAGTGGAGGCTCCATGTGCGCCACGTAGCACGCGCTGTTGCTACTGGTCTCCACGTGCTCTTCGGCGATGGTTGAGACAAGATAGCGGACGACATCAGGGCGCCGGCCAAGCCACGAGTCCGACACGACATTGGACAGCTTCTTGACGAACAGGACAACCTCCGCAAGGCTGCCGTCGCGCTCGTACCCTAACTCGGCCACCATCCTCATCGCGAGGAGGCCATTTACAAGCGCGTAGTAAACGCGCGTGTGCTCGTTCATGACGCTGGGTCCCCAATCCATGTTCCGATGGCGCTCCGTCCCCCGTTCCAGCCGGGTCTTCTGCACGACCACATCTTTCCCGTCGACCACCTCCCTCACCACAGCGGATACGTCCGCC